GACGCACCAAACAAGGCATTTCGCCGCAATGGGCCCCCTGCTGGCGAGCGCCCGACACGATGCAATAACACCAACTCTTGGTCGAGGAGTTGATCAGTGACCGATCGGGCGCCTGCGCGGCGGAAGATTTCGTCATTGGAGACTCTCGATACATATGCGGGTGGCACATTGAGAATACGGCGCAGGCAGCGAGCATGGAAACCCAGTAGTCTGCGCCGCTGGGCCGTGACCAGCCAGGTCGTGCATAAGCCGTAGCGGAGTTTCGGTAAGACAAGAGCTTGACAGAGCTTCAATTTCAGCTGCCTGGAGAGATTAGCGTGCGCCCACACTGGCTTCAGCTAGGCGATCTCTCCATAGGCGGCGCCAATTCCCCTGGACACCTACCCGCCCGTCGTTGCTCACCAGGCCGCCCAGGTACACCATCGAGTCGACCATGGGCTCGCCGGAGTCCTGTTTGAGGATCTGGTTGGTGCAGGCGGGAAGTGCTTGGACCTTCCCCAGTGGAACGTCATGCCGTACTCGAGGCCAGCTTTCTCTACTGCTTTTGTAAGTTCTTGCACGTGTTGCGCTCTTGTTTCGATAAGCAGGGTGTCATCGGCGTACACCACATCATGTAATTTCTCGTTGCTGCGGGCGTCGGCCGCGCTTGCTCCAAGCATGCCGTAGGCGTCGTTCATCAGAACTGTCATGACAATTTAAAAAATAAATGGAGACGGAGGGCGCTCTTGGTATATGCCAGACTGCTGCCAGCGCCTCTGGGATTGAGCGCCGCAGTCGTGCACCACGAAAGCTCTCTCTGAGTATATCTATTTGACACTGTCTAAGAACTGGCCCGGGACATCGAACCTTTGCAAGGCGTGTATCAGACCCTCGACGTTGATAGAGTCGAAAGCCTTCTTCCAGTCGAGGGCAAGTAGGTGCACAGCTCCACCGCGGTGCGCCCACGCCTCCTCCACGGCCCGCCTGGCGCAGTGCAGGGCGTCTTCGGTGCTGCGCCTCGGGCTCAACCCAAACTGCGAGTTCCAGATCCGGTCGTCCGCCCCCGCCCTCATCAGCCTCCGTAGGAGCACCATCGCGAAGACTTTGTACGCCGAGTTCAGCAGGCAGATTGGCGTGTAGTTCCCACAGTCGCCTGGGTCCCCTTTCTTGAAGATCAGGGCGACGCGGTGTAGGTGCCAGGCATCCGGCACAGCTCGGCCTCGCCAGCAGGAATTGCACAGTTCCAACAGCCACGCGGCGCCCTCCCCGTCCTCCCGCAAGACAATTTTCCACAACTCGACTGGGAGGTCGTCAGGCCCAGCAGCCTTGCCATCCGAGAGTGAGCATGCAGCGTCCTTGAGTTCCTTCTTTGAGATCAACGCACGTTCCACTGGTAGCTCTTCAAATTAGTTCGGCCGGTCCACGAGGCGCGCTGCTCTCACGGCCCATCGGACTGACTCCAGGTACATCGCAAATTTGTCGGCCTTGGCCTCCGAGCTGACAACGGCGCTGTCTGCGTCTGCGACAGGGCCTTGGCCATGAGCAGACCACTTCTTGAGTTTTCGGAGAGAACTCCAATCTCTCTGAGACTCGTCGCGAAGCCATTTTGACGCACTTGTCCAGGCGGCGCTCCTCGGCGTCATCCTGGGCCTGTCTGGCCTCAAAACGCTCACTGACAAGAAGCATTGTGGAGTCCCAGATCCAAGGTCGGCGTTTACCACTCGATAGCCTCAGTAAGTGCTTCTCAACTGCGTCCGCGAGAGCCGCCGCCACGCACCCGTCCAGTTGATTCACGCCAGGTGTGGTCTCGAGGGAGCACTGCTGACGCATGCTGTCTTCAAGAGCATTGGCAAACCGACGGGCTACACCAGGGTCCTTCAGAGCTAGCCTGTCTCAGGGCGCGGGTCTCGGAAGTGTCTGCCGGAGAGGAATGCCGCACTCTACGTCCGCCTTCGCCAGGTAATGGTGATAAGACAGGGGCTCGCGTCGTGCGCTCACAATGGAAGCGATGCGTGGCAAGCCCACTTGCGGAGCTATCAGAAAGTCTAGCTGACCAAAATGAAGCGGCGATGCATCTGCCAACGGCTTGACCCCGGGGTTCCTGTAGGTAACCTATGTCGCTGGAGGCACATCAAGAAACGTTTTCGCGATAGCCAGAGAGTTGGCTGTGCAGAACTCGATGAGCAGCTCGCGATTTGTGCTCAGCTCGTATCGGAACATGTTCGTCTTGAACGGGAATTCTCCTATGATGTCCTCCTTTCCAGGAAACCTTCTGGGTAGTCGTGCGTTGAGGTCACCCATGATGAGTTTCATCCCGTTCACAGACCACCTGCAGGTCCTTCTAGAATCGCTGCCGTTCCTCGAATGGCTTCCCCGAGTGCGGAGCATAAGCGCCACATTTTGCGATCTTTCCTCTGGCAGCCCGGAGCTTCAGAACACATAGCCGGCTGCTCAACGGAAGAAAGCCAAAGAGAGTGGCACAATCACGGGGAGCAACGACGAATCCAACACCTGCGTATTCAGCTCCAGCACAAGATCCAGACAGGATGACTAAGTATCCCTCGTCTGTGACATAATACGGCGACTATATTTTTCGAGTCTCTTGTAAACACATAAGTCGATATGCCTGCGCTGCATTGTCCTGACAATTTCAAACGACTTGATGCAAGTAAGGCCCTCCATATTCCATGACGCAATGCGGAGGCTGCCGCAGTGAGGGCGTGGATGGCGGAAGCGTGCAAACTGGCAGCCTGCTACGCCAACCTTCCCAGGTGAAACATTGCTCTGTTGTGTGCGCCGCCGGCTCCGTCAGGCCGCAGTGCGGCCCTTTCCCTTACACAGCCGTTGCTTCGCATTCTGCAGGCATTCCTGTGAGGCCTGCCGGATCTCCGTGAAAGACGGGTCACGATGAAGATCCTCGCATTTTTTCCATGCATCCGCGAGCCATTCGAGCTTGAGCTCAAGCTCCTGCACGACAGCTTTCAAGATAGGAGTGCCCTCAACGGAGATGGTGCCAAGATCCGGGTCCACATACACGCTGGACCTGTTGACTTGTCAGTCCGTGAGCACCCGGGCCTCAATCGGCATGTCTGGGCTCATAAAGGACTTGCCATTAGAGAGCCCCGTTTTGAGCGCGTTGAAGACGCGGATGGCGTTGTCGCGCTGCTCGACGGTCCAGAACCTCACGAGGACCATGCCGTTGAAGCTGCCCTCCTGGCCCTTGTGGAAAATCTCAGTGTGGTGGTCGATGTGTGCCTTGAGCAACGTCTGCTTCACCCAAGTGATTGCGACCTCCTCACTGGAGGACGCTTCCCCGAGACCCCCAATCACGCCCGTGGTCGAAGACGTAGGTGATGGTCCAATGTGGAGCTTCGCGATGGCCTCCCCGACAGCGCTCCTCATCTCCTCCATTTGCTCCTTCGTCACCAACTTCTGGGGGTCAAGATTCTCGGAGATCGACGTGTTGATCATGTTCTGAACAGCGTCCTGGGTGACCATCCTCTCCTGCACATCCTTCACCGTCGCGTCCGTCTCTTTGCAAGTTCGACGGCCTGTTTCGCTGTGTTCTTTGCTTCCTCTACTCCACCTCTTACTGCGTTCATGTCTCTCGTCATCTTCGTCATCATACCCATCATCTTCGTCATCATCGTCTTCATGTCATGGTCAGCAGGTCCGACCTCGGACGGAGTCGTCCCCAGTCCCCTCCACTGCTTGGCTGAAGTCTGGCTGACTCATGGGCGACTTCACCTTGTTGTCGGCGTTGTCGGAATCCATGTGGTCCAGCGGGGAATCGAGGCGAGCGTGTTTGTGCTCTCCCCCAAGAGGCGTCCCCATGTGGTGCTTCTCAGCTTGCATCGCAGAAGCTAGAGAGAAAGGAGAGGGTATGGTAGATGAGATGTGGGAGTGTACAGTCTTGGACATGGGGAGCGAGAATGCTAGCTTGAGCCTTGAGCCTTGGTCCCATGAGGAGATCCACCGAATGCGATACCCACAACCACAATACTCTCAACTGCATGCGGTTTGGGGCCTTTACTAGGATAATCGAGTTTGAGGGGTGGGGGAAGGAGGGGGAGGGGGAGGAGGGAAGCTAGGTGCGCTCGCGTCATATCTGACGTCCTACCCCTCCCTCCCATCCCTTACCATGGCGTATATCTTCTCTCTATTCGCACAGTCGGATATCGTAGTAGGGCATAGCATCACATGGCATCGCACGGTGTTGAAGATCAACGCGTAGCCTGACGCCCCAAAGTGGGGGGGTTCTGCGGCCAAAACAATCGAACATTCGGCACCACATGTGTAATCACTTTCGATGGTTGCTTCGGGGGGCCATTTTCTAGTTTTGGGGTCCTTTTTGAAGGACCAAAAACCATGCCGTGGCATGGCGCTGGAAATAATGACGCCAGCGCTGCAGCGGGGGCACGATTCGGAACGAGCGGAAGCGCGGAAATAAGGCCAGCGCTGCAGCGGGAGCACGATTCTGAATGAGCAGAAGCGCGGAAATGAAACCATCGCTGCAGCGGGAGCACGATTCGGAATGAGCAGAAGACCGAAAATGAGGCCAGCGCCTCAGCGAGAGCAGCATTTTGAAAGGAAACGGAAGCGAAAACCCAATTCGCCGACATCTTGTTTGGAAAAACAATACGCGAAGGGGGGGAGAACACTCCGAGACATTTTGCCACAGACTCAGGGGAGAGATGAGAGTAGTTCTCATATTGACTAATTGTGGATGGGGGTGGGGAGAGGGTGTGGGGGGAGGAGGGCGAGGGGGTGGGATGTTGTGTGGGGGGAGGGGGTGGCACCCTCTTGGGCCGTCTGGGGTGCCCTCTGGGGCCGCCTGAGGTTGTCGAAGTGGCCTCCTGGGCCGTGTCGAATCTACGATTTTGGGCTCAAGGAGGTGAGAGCATTGGGGGGAAAGAAATATTTCACGCCTTGTGACCGCAAATGGTCAGCGGGTTACCGAGCACGATAGAGATTGGATCGTTGGATTCTTGCAATCCAAGGTGGGCTTTTCCCATCATGCCATGGGCGGCAAGCAGCGTATTGCAAGTGATGGTAAGACGGTGCAGCCAAAGGGTTACAGAGAGGCAGCGATGCAGGTCATGTTTACTTCGAATGGCAACCATACAGAGTTCATAGCTATGATTTCAGAAGTATCGGGCATGGTCTTGAAATTCTTAGGGATACCTGGCCAAGGGTCTGCCGACGGCTTCCCAGGTTTCACCGAGATGAACCACCAGCCAGGTCGATTCGCGGGGCCTCTCAAGTCCGATTGGCGCATTCCCTGCCCGCTCGACTTCACCATGGAGCAGCGGTGGACGCAGTGCATGAGTGTACAGGAGACGGTTTGGGGAACGACTAATTTGAAGCGACTGGAGGCGGTAAAGGACAAGCTGGATCCGAGGCATCTGTTTACCGTCCACTTCGGCGTGGGAAACAAGGATGTTGTCGATGCGGTGATCTGATATGCGAGGCAGGTTGAGCCCCGGCTGGATCCACCCTCTCCATTCCCCTTCTCCTCAATCCCCTTCGCTTCCTTTCTTCCCTTCGCTTTGTTCTCCCTCTCTCTCTCTCTCCGCGCCCGCATTTTCAGTCCCTCGCCCCCAGACCTCGAACGTCATGATTATTTCAATGTTGAGCTCTCGACCTTTCGTGCTTGTCGACCGGCTGCTCGCGCAAAAAAAAGTTGAGCTATCGACCTAATCCCCGGGACCAGGTTTTGTGCTCTTGAATGGTCTCTGGCGACAGCCGTTCTCAAATCTTCCCCCCCCCGACCCCGGATCTTTTTCCCCGAGGGAAGGCTCGACCTTCTTCCGGAAGGTTTTCCAGGAGGAGTTTGCGGAATTGCAGCGGCGGTCTCATTCCAAGTCACCATATCGACCGCATGAAGTAATTATTCACCCTCCCAGTTTCTGAGTTTCTGTGAAGGTACCACACTTTCCCGTCTTGAAGGGTTTTGCCCCCCTCCTGCCTGCTCTTCCATTTTCCCTACTCTCAGTATTGGGTCCCAGTAGGACCGCCTGATCTCAATAAGATCACGTCGCCAATGTCTTCGTGGCTGAGATCCAGCTTTGCCGCGGGGCGCCCGTGCTGGATCCTTGCGTGACCCGAGGGGAATGCGATCGCCGGCGCTCTCAGCTGCCGCCGCGCAGGCGCGGTGCGCCAGCAGGGGGCGGGGCTTCGCTTGCTCCGTGCCGGCGAGGGTTCCCTGGCAGTCGGTGAGCACTCAAGCCCTTGCAGCTGCGCTGTGTCGGCGTTGGCTGCGCGCCGTCGCATCGCTGGCTGCGCGCCGTGGTGGTCGAGCGCGGCTGTGGCCAGTGGTGGCCGTCCACGGGGCATGCGCTCAGTGCTTGTCGCCTCGTTGGCAAAAGCCTTCCGGTCGCGTTATGTCGGTGTTGGCTTTGCGCTGGCGCAGTTCTGGTTACGCGCTGCACTGGTGGCGCGCGGTTAGGGTTAGTGGCGGCTGTCAGCGGCGCATGCGTTCGACCCCGCCGCCCCGCAGGTGGCTGCCCTCGGGCGTTTTTGCCGGCGGGTGGCTGCCCCCAGGGCGCCCGCGTCGGGCGCGCAGGCGAGGTGCGTTCGATTGATGATTGTATGAGGCTCTGGATGTCGGCAAATGTAGAGCGCTCATCTCCGGCAGTGCCTGCAGGTGGATGCCCGTTTTCGTTTTCTTTCCCTCTCCCCCGCGCGCTGCCGCGGCCGCTGTGGCTTTGCGCTCGCGGTGCAGATGCTGATCCGATGGCCTCCTCACCGCGGCGTTCGCGCGCCGCTCTGCAGGCGCGCGCTGGTGAGCGGGCGGGGGCGGCGAGCGAGCGGGGCCGCGCCGGCCGCGCCTGGTCGTGGCAGGCGTGGCGGATGGGCTCCGCGCGTAGGCCAGGTTTCGCAACGCCCCGTTTTCGATGCAGTCGTCGAGTTTGGTGTGCGGGGCGCGTAGTGTCTGTCATCGGCTGTCCAGCGAGAACAGCTGCGGCTCTGGGCAGCGTTGGCCACTCGAGGGCGGCCAGGCGCGCGGCGCGAGGTGCACGAGTCTTCGAGCAGCGCCGAAGACGCCGTCTTTGCGCGGCCCCGCGCCCGGGGGCTGAGCAGGATAGCCCAGGGGAGTGAACGTAGCCGCCGTTCGCATGCTGGGCCGGTTCGCCCCGCTCAATCATGGGGGGGCGCGCCCCAGTGAGGCGCGGATCTTGCGGGTTAGGTGGAGTCGCTCGACGACCCCGACGAGGGCGCTTCGCGATCTGGGAGGTCCGGGCTGCGGCGCTCGGATCGTCGTCGAGGCCATCGACGAGGGCGCGGATCCGGCGGCGGGAGATGCGTTGGCAGGCGCGGCGCGTCGCCCCTTTCTCAGTTCAGTTGCGCGCCTGGAAGACTGCGGCTGGCAGCTGCCTTCCTCCATGGGGGCGGGTGCGTCGCCTGGGCGGTGCGCCTTGCGGCGATCGAGAGATGGCACGCTCCTCGAATCCGCGGTTGAGCGACGTTGAATTTGTGGATCTTTTCTGTGGCGCGTCGGGCGCTGACGCGAGGGGTCGGCCCTCCGAGACGGGCGGGCCCCCTCCTTCGTGAGACCATCGTGGAGCCAGCGGCCCAGCCCGGGATGCGCGCAGTCAGGGCGTGGTATTGGCCAGTAGCGGGGGTCGATGCGGTGATTTTCTCGCGTGCTTGGTCGGTCGGGGAGATCGCGTCGGCCGCGGCGCCCACGTCGCGTCGCGCTTCATGGGGCGCCGTCGCCTCGGGGGGGCATCCGCGCAGATGGGCAGAGTGGGTGCTGCCCGTGTCCAAGGCGGACAGCATTCCGTTGGGGAGGCGCGCGCTCTCGCGCGCGCGCGTGCCCATTGCCGTTGTTCGGCGCGCCCAGCGTGGGCGACGCGCCGGTAGCGGGGGCGCCCGGGGGGCTTCCGCGCAAAGCTGGCCAGCCCAGCCCGAGTGCTTGGACTCTCCTCGTCGATGCCCGCGACGAGCCCGCGGCGAAGCAGAGCGCGGTTCGTTTGCGCAGGGGCGTCGCGCGGCAGGCGAGCGGCCATTCGTTGCGCATCGCGAGGCGTCATCAAGCGCGACTGGCGCTCAGAGGATGGCTCGGGCGGGCCGCCTGCCGGCAGTCATGGAACTGTTCTGGCGCTGGGGCAGCTCGGCGGTCCTCGGGCTAGGGAAGGGGTGGCGTCGTCGCGGAGAATGCGGAGCAGCTGACTACGGTGCATCAGGCAGACATCGCGGCGCAGCTCGAGAAGAGCTTTAGGCGGAGCGTCGCCGGCGCGAAAGGGGCCGTCGCGGCCGCGCGTAACGGGGGCGGCCGCCGAGAGGATTTACGAGAAGCTCCTCCCCAGAGGTGCCGGACGCCCGGGAGGTCACCGACGGGGTCGTCGTCCTCGTGGACGAGCAGGTCAGCCAATTGCAGCAGGGTATCGGGGGGATCTGGCAGCGCTGTGGTCGAGTGCTGGGCAGAGAGCGTCGCATAACGTGGTGCCAAGATGAGGTGCTTTGTGGATGGGGCTGGGCGGCAGGCCGTGCAGTGCCAGTTCCAGCGAGTGCGTGGGAAGCGGGCGCTGGGCGGCGCCGAAAGTGCTTGCGCAGGGCAGGGGGCTTTGCTTGAGCAGGGCCGTGGCGGTGATTCTTGGTGGGTACCGAGTCCAGTGCTGAGGTGGCTGTCGTTGGCGCGGGGTCCTGCGCCTGTGGCTGTCCAACGGCGCCGCGGCGCCTGTTGTGCGGGTTGGTGCAGCGCCGCCGGTGGTGGAGCACTTCTCGGGTGCGTTCTGGCCGTGCGTTTCCCATGCCACTGATCAGGGTGTGGGGGCCGAAGGGTCAGCGCTTTGCTGAAGTGAGGTTCTGCGGGGCGGATTGTCGAATTCTCATGATTGAAGATTTATCCTCGTTGCTTCGCGTATCCCCACTATCCCTGCCCTTCGCCGCCAGACCGTTGTCGCGCGGCCGCAGACCAAAAAGTACCCCCACTATCCCATCTAGAAACGATTGCCAGGTGTGTCGGTTAATCAGGGTCGCCTGGAAGCACGCGTTCGCACAGCCGTTTTGGAAGGCCTACCTGCAAGGTCGAAACTGCTGGTGGCTGTGTGAGCCGTGCTGGATCAAGTCGTTGGAAGGCAGAGGCATCGAGATCCCCCTAATTGAGAACCTGGACCCCACCACCAAAAAGTCACTACAGCAGCGACCCCAGAAGTACAAGCGCACGCTGGAGGAGGCCCGCTACCGAAAGAAAGCCAATTCTCTTTTTTCCCTGGTGCGGCTCCCCATTGGGTTCGGGCTCCCTGACCTTACGGATGCCCCCTTCGCTCTGGGCGACTTGGTCATGAACACCCCGCCCGCCCACAGTCCAAGGATGGTTGGTGCCGCCCTCCCAGCCCGCAATCTGTCCGACGGCGCATTCGGACCTGACTCGCATACTACCAGTACCTATTCCGCCATGCGTGACACCTGCCCCGTGGGATCACCTCTACTTGCGCGGTCTATTGACAGCCCCCCGCCCGGCTGCTTCATGTGGCGCCCTGAGAAAGGCGCGCCGCGCAGCAAGGAGACAAGGCTTCCGCCCTGGGACAGCATGCCTGCGCTCTGGACCCAGCAGGAGTGGAACGCAGGATGGGCCTGTATACGGTGCCTCGTACACATTTGGAACATAGCGCCCGGCACACTCGACCGCATCATAGATCGTGACTACTCCAAGGTTTACCCCACCGCTCCCACCAAACGCGCAGCAGCGGCATAATTGCAGGAGGACAGCTACGACATCAGCAAACACCTCCCCTCGACAGGCGCCGATGCAGCCGCTCAGGACGCATGCTCAAGGCAACCAGCCCGAAGGGGCGAGCCCACCCCCAACGACGGTGAGTTCGGCCGGGCGACGGGGGAAGGCAGTGCGCCCGTCAAGGTCGGTCGCGACAGCAACTCCGTGTTCCCCGACGTGGGCCCCCCGCAGTGCCCAGTCTTACCAACTCAATCCACACTCAGGCTCGACGGGGTGGAAGCGGATGGCCCCGTGCACTCCCTGGTGAAGTACCTGCTGGAATGGAATCGCACCATCTATAAGCTGCGGGAAGACTTCGTGCTGCAGTGCGGTGACGATATCCCAGGGGGCAGGACAGATGAGGGTTCGTGGCCCACAGCAAGGCTGCTCCCATTCCTGGGAATGATCTATGGAGAGTCTATCCCAGACGACTGCTACCCCCCCCAACATCCCCTGGGACGGCCAACGGGCCGCAGTGGCCAGAGTGGCATACTACTTTGTGAGGTCCAACGGGAAGTACCAAGGCCAATGGGGGAATAACGCAGCCAATCTGGCAGAGCAGAAAGGCAAATGTCCCTTCCGTCAGCGGACTGGTACACTACTCGCCTTCCCAATGAAGATTGACCAGGGAGCCCTGGCCCTGGGTGCCGCCGCTGTCCTCACCAAGCGAGACCCGCGCGAGGCTGGAATAGTCGCGTCAGGGGAAGGTGACTCGCCAACAGCAACTTGGCTGGACAGAGC